CCCCGCCCCCGCCCGGGAGGCTGCTGTTGGGGGTGTTGTCGCTCCGGTTCAGCTCACTCGGTGCTGCGGGGAAAGGACTTTCAGTGCTTTGCTGAAGAAGGGGTCGGATCACTCACTCTGCGCAGCTCCACTGACTCCCCCCGAGCGCGTTGTATAAGGTGGTCAGGGGACCGGAGCATCGCTCTTAGGGGGACGGGATGAGGGACCTGGGACGCTTTAGGCTGGAGAAGAGAAGGCTGAGAGGGGATCTTATAAATGCTTATAAATATCGTAAGGGTGGGTGTCAAGAGGACGGGGCCAGACTCTTTTCAGTGGTGCCCAGCGACAGGACAAGGGGCAACGGGCACAAACTGAAGCATGAACATGAGGAAGAACTTCTTCCCTCTGAGGGTGACAGAGCACTGGAACAGGCTGCCCAGGGAGGCTGTGGAGTCTCCTTCTCTGGAGATATTCAAGACCCGCCTGGACAAGGTCCTGTGCAGCCTGCTGTAGGTGACCCTGCTTCGGCAAGGGGGTTAGACTGCATGATTCCCGGAGGTCCCTGCCAACCCCTGCCGTTCTGTGATTCTGTGATTCAGCCGACTACTTCTGAGCTGTCTCTCCACATCTGGACATGTCATGAAGACAAACAGTTTCCTTTCAATGGAACAGATTAAGTTAAAGATCTGTGTGTTATTTACACTGTAAGAGCTCATTATTTTTATTGTTACTATTTATTTACTGACATTACTAATACAAAGGCTTCTGTTTTACTGCAGGCTGGTATATGAAGTGCAATGAGCTGGGTCACAGGCTGGAGGAATTATCTTCCAGTACCTTGGGGGAGATGCTGTTTCTTCACATGTTTATTATTATCCAGTATTTGAATATTTCACCGTCTGCAGTGGCATGTGGAATTATCAAGATTTTTAAAGAATTTTAGAACTAAACACGTTTTTTTTCTCAGGTGTAGTAAACATATCAGCTGTCCTCTGTAGTACATATTTAAGTTCACTGGAACAAGAGCAAGGTGACATGCAGTGCACTGAGCTTTGTTCCTGCAATTTTTTTAATCATTTGTGAATTTTAGGAACAGGAAAGTGTAGAATATTTGTTAGAACCAAGATATTAATGACTTCCAAGATAACATCACTGAGATTCAAGTATCTTTGTAGCACTTTGTGCAATCTGACAGGAAAAAACAGGATTGTAAATTTCTAAACCTAACCATGTTTGTGGCAAGCTTCTGACCCTTTTGTGAATGTAAAGAATTTCCTCGAAGCTCTGTATTACCGCAGGTCATGTTCTCCGTTGCAGGTGGACATACTTCTGATTTTAATACAGCTTTACAGTATAATCCTCTCCCACAATGTCAGACATTTAATGCACAAGCTATAAGCAAGGATCCAGCAGTTGTGTGGTTCCATAAAAAGTCTTTCTGCCAAGTAATGGCAATATCAACTTCAAGTATAATATGATTTTTTAAAATTATGAAAGTAAAGCTTTTTTGGAGAGAACATTAATTTAGGTGTTTTGATGTCAAACAGTTCTAGCACAAAATAAAAAGACATTTCTTAGGAAAAAAAAAATGTTATCTGAACACAAAGTTCCTGGGTGCTTCATTCCAGTAATTTACCCCTGAATCCCAAGACCTGAGCATCAGTAAAAAACTTAATAAAAATAATAGAGAATGTCTTAAAGCTCCATAAATGTTCCATCTCCTTCTAATGGTTTTACCACAGGAGGACCTAATCTAATCCGTAAAATTTGGGGTTTCACGGGTTCTCACAGTAAAGTACATAAAACTGTTTCCATCAAGGGCAAATAATGACACTTAGTGTGATGTCAAAAATACTTTGATGTAAAATGAATGCCTAGTTACTATTCAGTAACACTTTAGATTAGGAGGAGATAGTATGAGGAAGTTAAAGTTTGAAAGCAATCTTTTATAAAGACACAATCAACATTCTAAGGGCTGGAGTGAAATAGAAGGAAAACAGCAAAAACTTTTTTAAAAGCTGGTTTTAAGTGGCATCTTAAACATCGCACCAAATCACTCCTTTCTGCAAGAGTGCTGTAAAGCAAAGGTGTCTTTCAAAGTAAAAAACTTATTGGCAAAGGACAGCCTTCTGCTGTGTGAGATCTTCTCATGTGTGAAAACTCCTTGGCTTCATCTTGAATTAAATGTGAAACATGAGGAGCATCGATAAAAAAAGAGAAGTGGTGATTTCTGGTTGTGGATGGTTTTCCTCTTTCATCTGTTAATTCCAGTTCTGCATTTTAGTGAATTTATTTTCCCTGCCCTTCTTCGCTGTTGTTGCCTTGGAATAAAATATTTTGTATCAGAAATGAGTCATATGGCCTGCCATCTGCCTCCTCCACCTTGAAGTGCACCGAAGTATATAGCACACTTAGACTCAAGCTGTGACCTCAGTGTAAACTGAAATGTTGGTTGCATCCATTCAGGCTTGTTCAGTGATTATTGTATATTGCAAATCTCTCTGTCCTCCCTTGAAGCTATGCAGCAGTTACTGCTGGGGAAATGTTCATCTATCACTCTCCATTCCCGATCGCTGCATTGAACCAGGCAGAGTGGGATGATGTACATAATACCCTTTGGGGGGTTTCTCTGTGAGTAGGACAGATTCTGTTTGTGTTTCAACAAGCAAAGAGAACATTATGTTCTATATTTCAGTTATTCAGCTGAGGTTTTGTTGAACAGGATATGATGATTTATTACCCTAAGTACTGTTATCCACTTGATATATATTAATATTAAGGTAGGTGAAATAATAAAGACCCTCTTTTACGCCTTCAGTTGCTTGTGACGGCGTGGCTGGGTCTCTCCATTGATGTTTGCTCTGCTGTTCATGGTTGTGTTATACAAACTCTTTTTCTGGCCCCTGTTTTTCCCAGATCAGATTACCTATATATTTCCAAAGCTTATTTGGGCTGCAGTCACTCCTTTCAGACTTCAAACAGTAAAAGTCTTCATCAGTCTGCAGTCGCTTTGTTTTTCCCTTGTTAGCTGAATATTGTCAGGAAAGAATATATTGCTACTGTTAAGATGATGGAGAAGTGCAGTAAGCATTCCCGGTCAGTGCATTTTCTGTTACTACTGAAAGTTGAGTTAGGATCCAGTGGAGTCCAGCAAATCTCAGTGACTCATAGAGCTCATATTCTATCTTTGTGGTTTTCCACTTGAAACAATTGTCAGAAGTTTCTGGTTTCATTAGGTGTTTTGCAAATGCCACAGTTTTAATTAGATGCTTACAGATGTTTTTCCTTGAATTGTAATAGCAGGAAATTCTTGGGCTGTTGATTAGTAATTGCATTGTTATCTATACCTTAAATTTCAGTGATAATGGCAGTAATTATAACACACACTTTATTTGGGCTTAGTCCTAGCTAGGGCAAACTGTCTTGATAACTTCCTTAATCAATAAATTAATGAACTTTTATTTTTCTTTTTAATTCTTTGAGCAAGCCTACAAATCTTTAGCCTGTCTTTTTAGGAAAGATGCAGATTGCTTTGTTATTCTAAAGTGGTTAAAACAACAAGGGCAGAGGGGGTGCTAGAATTTTGCAAGGGTTGCCATTTTGGTTGAAAAATCATTTTATTTCACAGGAAGCATTACTTCAGCATTTTTATTTGCTTATTATTTATTACATTGTTTACTCCAGTTGTATTCTTTGCTCTACTGTGAATGCACATTTGATCTTTGCTGTTGGTGAGGCTGACAGTTCCTGATATTCAGTCTCCTTACTATACTTTACTGTACAAATAGTTCTTCCTGTGGTGATTCTCCAAGCTGATAGAGGATAACTGAAAACTGCTACAGTTAGAGATTATGACCCATCTCTTTGTACATGAGTTTTGTAAAAATCTCACATTTTGAGGATTAGCACAGAAATGGCCTTGTATGCTATCAATAGCAGTTTGCACCATATTTATGTACATAAAGTCCCAGCAATTATTCTGCTCTTTAGAAGTGCTGAGTGAATCACAAGCCTTTC